CTATATACAAAATGTTTAACAAATGCATAAATGGAAATGATGTATATATCTTTATAAGGAATCATTACTGTTAATCAAGGAACAGGACTTTTTTATATTGCCGCCCTCTACTTCTATACCCAAGCAGTTCCTGAAACAGTGTTTAAGAGGTATTCACAGTAGATATTCAAGAGATCAATGACGTCATCACTTATTGAGGCTCCTACATGCACAGAAAAGATACATACACAACCCAGCCTCCCAACTACTTCACGTTATTTTTTGATATTACATCACAGCCCTTATTCTGTCTTAAAGCTTTACCATTTGTTAACCAGCTTTTAACTAAAACACTTAATGGTAAAGGGTGTCTAATACACCATAGGAAATACATGTGTTTACATAATAAGAAGGAAAACCAAAAACTGTTGCAGAGGACCAGGAGCTGGCCTTGCTCTCTTTGTAAGCCAAGTCCTATCCTGCAGGAGACACAAATGTCACATGCCTCCTTCATCAAAGGTCATCAGTGACCATAATGCACCAAGAAATCTATAAGGGTATTTTGTGCCCATGTCTCTAAAAATGGTAAGGACATAGTTCCAAATCATAACAATGACCAATAGTCCCCTCTTCTTACTAATATTACTCACTGCTTCTTACAAATTAAGGTTAGCTCCAATACATGGTTTTTGCCTTCTAAAAAACGGTGATTACTATGACCAATGATAGAATGAAGTTTGCCTCCTCACAGCATTCAATACAGAAAAAGGTCTTGCTTCCTTGAATAGCAATTAAATCAACTAACAGGAACCAAAATCCTATAAGAAGTTATTCTCAGTACCTGTTACTGTTACACCTCACAGTCCTTTATGGTTTGTGGTCATTCTTATTAGAATCATTATACCCCTCTCTTTTTTATTATAGGTGTGATCCTGAAAGTCACTGGCAGCAGGGCACTGAAAAAAAGATGAGTTAAGTTTTTCATATTAAGAATGAAAGAGGAGGGCCGGCCAAGTGGCTCAGTTGGTTAAGAGCGCGAGCTCTGAGCAACAGGGTCACCGGTTCGATTCCCACATGGCCCAGTGAGCTGCACCCAAGCTGAGTTGCCACTGAGCTGGTGAGAGCGCATGCTCTTAGCAGCAAGGTTGCTGGTTCAACTCCTGCATGGGATGGTGGGCTGTGCCCCACCCCCAAACTAAGATTGAACACAGCACCTGGAGCTGAGCAGCCATGAGCTGCCTACAGGAGACCGGATGGCTCAGTGTGCAACAAGGTTGCCAGATGGACTCCTGCATGGGATGGTGGACTACATGCCCCCCGTCACCGCCACCCCCACCCCCGCCCCCGCAACTAGATTGAAAGCTGTAACTGGACTTGGAGCTGAGCTTGCACCCTCCACAACTAAGGTTGAAGGAGAACAATTTAACTTGGAGCTGATGCATCCTGGAAAACACAATGTTCCCTTTCCCCAATTCCCCAACACTGTTCCCCTCCCCAATTTCCCAATAAAAATCTTAAAAAAAAAAAGACTGAAAGAGGAAGTAGTTTCATGACAAAAATTGTAACTACAAAATAAAAAATAAAATTTGCCTGAGGAAAAAATACCTGGACTTACATGTACATAATATTGTCTCATAATGTATAATGATTAAATGAAAAAGAATTACAAAGTTTATCTGAAATTCCATAATTATAATGGGACTAGGTAATATGTCATCACAAAAAATGAAAAACACAATACTTGTTAGTATCCTACAACTTAAAAAAGTTAATATTTCTATGAAACAACTACAGAAGTGTTAGTTTGACCCCCAAAAAATGCACATACTTTTAATGACATAAAATCAAACATAATTGAAAAAAATATTGAGGGCTTGCATTCAGCTACAAGTAATGGGAAATACCCATGGTCTTCCTGACCAGAGGAAGGGGCCTGTTCTCACATGGAAGGACTGGGTCATGGCAGCCACTGCACATGCAGCCGAGAACAAATACCCATGTCTTTCTTCTGACGGCACCATTATAGATGTCATGGTGAATCAGGAAAACATACTCACCAGCACTATTAACAGCATAAAGCTGTTTGCTATACAAATTAGGCCTTATACTGATATAATAATCCAAAGAGGGAAACCAGAGAATACTCACATAAATCAGTTTCCTAGTGGACACAAGAGGGCTTACAGAAAAACCCACACTCTGGTGTGGATCTTGTGAAGACATCAGTGGAAAACCACATCTCTAAGAAAATGGAAATCAAATAGTTAGTGGTGGTTTTGAAGATACACTTGATTGAATGGTAAAGAATCCAAAAAGTCAGCTGGAAGATGGTGTCCTTGAAACCCACATGTGTCTCTCTCTCCACCTGAATGGTGGTGTCTCCAATATCTGACTATTGCCTTCTTCGCTTCTGCTTACCAAATCTCATGCAAGTGAGGCTATTGGTAAATTCTAATATGAGAGAAAATGAATTCTGGAAAATCTAGTTCCTAACACTACAGAAAGGGGTGATATGTCCAGCTTTAGATATTTGTCCTATCACAGGTATCTCTTCTTTTTTTTAAAGATTTTATTGAGGAATTGGGGAAGCAGAACAGTGCTGGGGAATTGGGGAAGGGGAACAGCCACATTGTTGTCCTTCAGTCTTAGTTGTGGAGGGTGCAGCTAGCTCAGCTCCAAGTCCAGTCGCCATTCAGCAGCCCGTTGGCAGCTCAGCTCAAGGTACCATGTTCAATCTTAGTTGCGGGTGGGCATAGTCCACTATCCCAAGCGGGAGTCAACTGGACACCTTGTTGTTAGGAGCATATGCTCTCACTAGCTGAGCCATCCTGCCATCTGTTGGCAGCTCAGCGGCAGCTCAGCTTGGGCACAGCTCACTGGCCCAGGTGGGAATCGAACCGGCGACCCTGTTGCTCAGAGCTCACGCTCTTAACCAACTGAGCCACTCGGCTGGCCAGCCCCAAGGTATCTCTTCTTAAATTAAAATCTATTCACTAAATGCCAGTCAAGAGGAAAAAAGAAAAAGAAAAAAGAAAAAAAAAGTCAAATATGAAAATAACTCAAATTAAAACGTATTCTTTCATAAACTTGTCAAACAAAAATTTACTGCAACAGTTTATAAGAATGGAAAATGGAAAAAGGGCTCTTATACCCATCATCTTAAAACAGGAGCTTATTTAGTAAGAAAGGGAGAACATATATAATGGACTAGGAATATCCAGAAACTGTCACAAGACCTGTAAGAAGATTCCAACTTATACCAAATTGTCATTTCTCAATGACCCCTTAACACAAAAAAAGTAAACATCATTAAAAAAAATTATACCTAATTGCATATTAGAAATGCACTTGAATTAATGCATAGATCTAACAGGGTTCAAAATGTAAAAAGACAATGTTATTAATTGATTTAATGAAAAATCACTGCCTATTAATGTTATATACTATTCTTGAAAGACAACTTGCAGAATTGTCTCACTTCAATATGCATTTCTGAAAGAACCTACAGCTGACCCATGAACATAAGTTTGAACTGCACAGCTCTACTTATACTCAGATTAAAATTGTGTATACAATGGAAATCCGTGCATGCAGAGGTCCATCTTAAGTTATACGATGATTTTTGATTGTGTGGGCAGTTGATGCCCCTAACCTCCACATTGTTCAAGGGTCTACTGTAGAAGAAATCCTGTGTACAATGATGCATGAATAGTAAGAAAAGAAAGAAGCTTGGTAAACATAATTTACAATTTTAAAATCAACCCTTTAATGTTAAACATTTTCTGGAAAATTATACATGAATTAATTTCCATCAAGCCTCCTCACTTTATTTACATTTGCATTTCTTTTTGGGTGGCGTTTTACATGTCAAGATGTGCCAATTGAAGTCTTTTCCTCACTATTTACATTCAAGAGGTTTGATCCAGTGAGTTCTTTCATGCTTTTGGAAGACGGATGGCTGAAGGTTTCCCCACATTCTTCGAATTTATAGTTTCTTTGCGATGTGTACTCTCATTTTGTAATTTTTAAAAATTTTGTTACAAATGAAGGTTTTTCCACAAATCTTACATTCATAGGGTTTTTCTCCAGTATGAGTTCTTTTATGTCATTGTAAGAAACTGTTCTGTATAAACTTTACCACGTTGTTTTCATTCATAGGGTTTATGAGGTGTGATCAGAAAATACGGTGAATGTTTAAATTTAAAAAATTTTTTATTACAATAAAAAATAACATTGCCATTAATCCCCCTGAAAATACTCCCCCTTGCTTCGAACACACTTATCCTATCATTCTTGCCACTTTTTCTGAAGCAGTTCTGGAAGTCCTCTTTCGTGAGTGTCTTTAGTAGTGCTGTTGTGGTTGCCTCGATATCCTAAATTGATTCAAAACATTTACCTTTCATCGTCATTTTCACTTTGGGGGAGAGCCAGAAATAGCACGGTGCCAGATCCGGTAAAAAAGGTGGATGAGGACACATCGTAATGTTTGTATTTGACAGAAATTGCCGTATACCAGAAGTGATGTGTGACATGGAGCCTTTTCATTGTGATCACAAAATACAGTGAATGCTCCTGCCAAGTGCTATCCAATGGAAAGGTAGGGATCTGCAATAGGGGAAGTGGCGCATCAAACCTTTGTAACATTGTGTGACAAGTTTCAACTTGTTTGGTGCAGTCAGTCAGGCATGAGCTACTGTTGAAAGAAGGTGTGTGTTAAAGTGTGCTGTAAATTACTGTCCATCATGACAATGCTCCATATCACACATCGCTTCTGGTATATGGCAATTTCTGTCATCAAAACATTATGGTGTGTCCTCATCCAGCTTATTCACCGGATCTGGCATTCTGTGACTTCTGGCTCTTCCCCAAAGTCAATATGATTCAGGACATCGAGGCAGCCATGACAGCACAATTTAAGACACTCACGAAAGAGGACTTCCAGAACTGCTTCAGAAAGTGGCAAGAATGATGGGATAAGTGTGTTTGAAGCAAGGGGGAGTATTTTCAGGGGGATTAATGGCAATGTGTCTTTTACTGTAATAACATTTTTAAAATGTAAACATTCACCGTATTATTTGATCATACCTTGTAACTCCAGTGTGAGTTCTTTCATGTCTTTGATACAAATTAAGGCAAATGAATGCTTTCCCATATTCCTTATTGAAAAGGTGTGTTTCCAGTATGCATTTTCATGTGTCTTTGAAGGGATTTTCGAGAAATGAAGGCTTTATCACAACGTTTGCACTCATAGGGTTTCTCTCCTGTGTGAGTCCTTTCATGTGTTTGTAAGGAATGGTAAGATTTGAAGGCTTTTCCACATTCCTTACATTTGTAGGGTTTCTGTGCAATGTGAGTTCTTTCATGTATTCGAAGATTACTGGGATACTTGAATGTTTTACTACATTTTTTGCATTCATAGGGTTCCTCTCCTTTGTGACTCCTTTCGTGCATTTGTAAGGAACTGGAATATCTGTAGGATTTTCCACATTCCTTACATCCATAAGGTTTCTCACCTGTGTGAATTCTTTCATGTGTTTGTAAGTTACCAGAAGACCTAAAGGCTTTTCCACATTCCTTACATTCATAGGGTTTCTCTCCTGTGTGAGTCCTTTCATGTGTTTGTAGGGAATTGGAAAATCTAAAGGCTTTTCCACATTCCTTACATTCATATGGTTTTTCTGCAATATGAGTTCTTTCATGTTTTCGAAGGTAATTGGGAGCACTGAAGGCTTTTCCACAATGTTTACATTCATAAGGCTTCTCTCCAGTGTGAGACCTTTCGTGTATTTGTAAGGACCTATTATTACTAAATGCTTTTCCACATTCCTTACATTCATAGGGTTTCTCTCCTGTATGAATCCTTTCATGTGGTTGTAAGGAACTGTATGATCTGAAGGCCTTGCCACATTCCTTACATTTATAGGGTTTCTCTTCAGTGTGAGTTCTTTCATGTAGTCGAAGATAACTGGGATACCTGAATGCTTTATTACATTTTTGACACTGATAGGGTTTCTCTTCAGTGTGATTTCTTTCATGTCTTTGAGAACTTTTATAACACCTAAAGACTTTTCCACAGATTTTACACTGATAGGGCTTCTCTCCTGTGTGGGTTCTTTCACATATTTGAAGTGGAGTTGAAGAAGTAAAGGTTTTCCCACACACCTTACATTTGTAAGGAGCATCTACAGTATGTGAGATCATGTGTCTTTGAAGGGTTTTGAGCCACATGAAGGCTTTCCCACATTCCTCACATTTATAGGGTTTTCCAACATTGTGATTTTGTTCATGTTTTTCAAAACACTGAAAATAACTGAAGGTTCTCCCACATACATTACATTTATATGGCTTCTCTCCATATTTCTGATACTCAGAAGGCTTGTGCCCAGTGTAACACCTGATGTGCCTATTATGAGATGACTGCTGAATGAAGACTTTTCCACACACACTGTATTCCCATGGCTTTACTCCATGAGTTTTCTTTTTCAGATTCAGGTTTGGAATAAGGTTGAAGTTTTCTCCACTACCTTTTTCCCCTTCAGAAAGTCTCTCTACCATATGAGTTCTGGAAAAAACAACAAGCACATTATTATGATTTCTTTATAAGTGATTTTATATTTACTAGAATATTTTGACTACATTTTTGTGATTTATAGCAAAAACATAGGTATTCTGCTTTATCAACACTGTTTGAAATAGAATACATTGAAAGCTCTGGAAGACAACTTTAGCCTTGCTGTTATTGAAACAGTGATATTCATATATAGGGCTTATTAATGCTGTTTTCATGTGAACCAGTTTGCAAAACTGAACATCTATGTCATATATAGGAAAGTAATTTGATGAAAAATTTCTGAGAAGTAATTAATTTGAAGCAGGGATTGTTTTGTTTGCTTCGTTTTAAAATTTTGTAGCATAATAGTTTTCTCACATGACCTACAGCTTTCCTTTGTGTGACTCACCTTTGTTTTCTCCCCTGGTTTTTGTACTGATCTTCAATGTCATGATCTTCCCATTTTTTACCTAAAATGCAGACCCAGAAAAATCATCCAAAGTATTAGAAATTACATAAGTAATTATTAGATTCTAGTTCTGTGATGAGCTATGAACATGCCCAGTTTATTTACCAATGTCCTCCCTTCCCACATTACACATCTTAGAACAATTTTGAAGGGTAAGAAATACGTGTTCTCTAATAAGGAAGTAAAGGTAACTTATCATCCTTACCTACTGATGCCAGGTTCCTGAACGTTTCCAGCATCACATCTCTGTAGAGTCTCTTCTGTGAAGGATCCAGTAAGGCCCACTCCTCCAAGGTGAAGTTCACAGTCACATCTTCAAAGGTCACTGAGTCCTAAAACACCACAAATATGTGGTTCATGGGACTGACAGCACTGGACACCTAGACTCCCTTTACAGGAAGGTTAAGTATGATTCTGTCATCTCCAAATATTTATACTATGAATTAATCATCAGAAATTACTCTCTATCCACACTTACTTCCTTATAAAATTAACACCATCATAAACACACAGAAATTACCAACACATTTTTACTGTGATCAAATATGTCATAATTTTCTCTAATGGCAGGATTCAGAGCATGCTGGGAAATGATTGAAATGCTACGCAAATGAAACAAATATTATTATTTAAAAATCATCAATTTCTTGTGAAAAAAATTCTTTCATCTCCCTCTTTATTACCCATTTACAGTGCTCCATGAAAGAGAGGGTCATCACATCTGTATGAAGTTTCAATGATTTAAAACAGTGCAGAACTGAAGCTTTTTCTTCTATTCCCATCACCCAAAACAAAGAAGCCAGGAAGCCTGTGGAAATCCAACTTTTAACACAGCCTGGCTGGCTTTATTGTCTTAAAGCCCTCCAGACCATTTGAAGTGCAAACATACCTTGTTTTATTGTGCTTCACTTTATTGCACTTGGCAGATATTGCATATTCATAAATATCGAGACAAGACCCTCCACTAGCAATAAGATTACGACCCAGTGAAGTCTCATATGATGGTTAGCATTTATTAGCAATAAAGTATTTTTTAATTAAGGTATGTACACTCATCTTATAAACATATGGCATTGCAGACTTAACAGACTACAATACTGTGTAAATAGAACTTCTTTATACATTAGGAAATCAAAACAATGTATAGGCTTGATTATTAATCATTGGCTTTATTGCAATGGTCTGGAACCAAACCCACAATATCACTGAGGTATGCCTGTAATCAGATGCAGCTGGCTGAATGAAAATATTCTTATGGGGAAGCACTGCTTTTACCTTGTGTAATATTTATCACAGATTCAGTTCTTCCTTTCTCTCTCTGTATATTATGGTCTAGAAAGTTATTTGGAAATTAGAGCTCAGATACAAGGAAGAATGCATGACAACTTCCTGCCAACTTTTGGCATACGCTGAGATGATAGTAAGCCAGAAGTGCTCTCTCCAGCAGAACGATAACAGTCTATCCTGTGCCCTGCTGACACTGAGGAACAGGTTAAAAGCTATAGATTGCATGAGAGTTCACTGACATCCACAATGTTCAGTGACAAATTTCCTCATGATTATAAAATATCTAAGGTGTCAGCAATGCTTTTCTCCAACAGAACATAACATCTCCATTCCCCAATCAGGAGGAACTTTTCCTGACCAGAAGACACCTTAGAGGCTGCCCTCCCTTCTGTCACATCGAAGCTCCCCCATGGAGTACAGGAGCATGAGAGCTCAGCCCCTGAGCGTGGAAATCACTTGGCCACTAGGGTATGAAAGGGGTTACAACTTCCATAACTGAGGTCTCTGGGGAGAGTAAGTCATGAAATAGCTTGAGAGACCAAAAAAAAAAAAAAAAAAAGCATGGATCTTTTTTATTGAGGTTAGGGGGTGGGCTAAGGTGAGAGTTCACACACAAAGGCAGGATCTTGTGTGAATTTAGTCACTTGCCACCACAAAGGAGGGAGCACTAAGGTTTCTTATCACCTTAGACAGTTGTGGGGCACAGGGGAAGGAGGAGAGATGAGGCTCTAAAGCTGTCAGCAGTCAATTATTAAAAATTGGAGGAGACTGGGCCGGCCAAGTGGCGCGATGGTTGAGAACTGGCTTGGGTCGCCAGAGGACCCCGGTTCGGATCCCACATATGAGGGCCAGTGACACTGCCCTCCACAGCTAAGATGCTGAACAACAGCTCAACCTGGAGCTGGGCTGCCGTGAGTTGCCGGTGACGGCGGAGGCTGCAGCCCCTGTGGCAGTGGGTTGCCATGGGCTACCGTGTGTAGTGAGCAACCAGCGTGAGCGGCCAGCAGCCGCAGTGAGCGGCCGTCCAGAGGCCAGCAACTGATCTGCCTCGCCCGGGAAGAGCGCAATGATGGTGCCAACTTGGGCCAGTGAAGCAACGTCCTCCACAATTAGACTGAAGAACAAAACGACAGCAACTTGTCTGTTCCCCTTCCCCCAATTCCCCAATTAAAAAAAAAATTGGAGGAGACTGCTGATTTCTGTTCTGGCATTTAAGTAACTTAGAAGCTGTCATCCCAACCTCACTAGAAAAAAGCAAAAGAACTTGAAACGAACTTCTCTTCTTGGGTCTATCACAGCATTTAAGTCATAGGATCACCCAGTGTCTCTAAAATTGGCAAAGGGAAAACAAACACAGCATTCTGCAAAATGCCACAAATAGTCTGTTCTTTACATGGCCTGAACTCAATTAAGAAATTAAAAAAAAAAAACTATTTCAGCAGAGTTTAATGCAAACACAAAAAAAAGAACAAAAAAGATACATGAACCTCAAGACAACCTTCTTTAAGCAGGTTTAAATACACATGATGGAAATACCTGAAGGAAAAGAACAGAAGAAACCAGTGAAGTAACAATCACACAGATTTTCCTAAAACGAATGAGAGATGGCAAACTGTCAATCCAGGAAGTTAAGATGACACTAAATATGACAACCAAGTATCTCATATTCAAATTAGACAAAATCAAAGACAAAGAGAATATATTGAAAATAGCCAGAGGGGAAAATACTTTATAGAAAAACAAAGATAAGGATTAAATCAAATTTGGCTTATAAAACCATACAAGCAAGAAGAGTGTAAAGTAAAATAGTTTTTAAAGAATAAAAACTCTCCTAGAGTTCTTTGTCAAACAAAATTATCCTTCAAAAATAAAGGGAAAGAAGGACTTTTGGTGATAAAAATTGAGGGAATTTGTCAGGAGTACACCTACTTTGAAAGAAACAATAAAAAATTCATCAGAAAACTATAAATGATGAAGGTAATAAATTAGAAAAGGAATAAATGGAAGTAAAATATCTTTTGTATGCCTTATAATATAACAGATGACAGTTTAAAATAATACAGATTTAAATTTAAAATATTAAAGAGGTCTATTTTCCAAGAAGGCATAGCAATCCTTAATGTGTATGTGCATAACAACAGAGAAGCAAAATACATGGTGTGACAAAAATTATGGTGAACGCTGCTGCCCAGTGCCATCCAATGGAAAGGCAGGGATCTTCGATACGGGAAGCGGCGAGTCGAGCCTTAGTAACAGTGTGTGACAAGTTTCAACTTGTTTGGTACAGTCCGTCAGGTGTGAGTTATGGTTGAGAAAAGGTGTGTTTTAAAGTGTGCTGTAAACCATCCTCCATCATGCAACACTCCGTGTCACACATCACTTCTGGTATAAGGCAATTTCTGTCAAATACAAATATTACGGTATATCCTTGTCCACCTTATTCACCAGATCTGGCACTTTGAAACTTCTGGCTCTTCCCCAAAGTCAAAAGGACCATGAAAGGTAAATGTTTTGAATCGATTCAGGACATTGAGGCAGCAGAGACAGTACAACTAAAGACATTCAAGAAAGATGACTTCCAGAACTATTTCAGAAAGCGGCAAGAATGATGGTTTAAGTGTGTTCGAAGAGAAGGGAAGTATTTTGAGGGGGATTAATGGCAATGTGTCTTTTACTGCAATAATTTTTAAAAATTTAAACATTCACCATATTGTCTGATCACACCCTGTACATGAGGCAAAAACTGAGAGAATGGGAGGAGAAATAGAGGAATACCTTCCTACAGTGATAGAAATACCCTCTTCTCATGAATTATAAATTCCAGCAGCAGAAAATCACCAAGGCCAGAAATAAATTTGACAACACCATGTAACAACTGGATTTAATTTGTAATTTCTGAAACAGTTCATGCAACAAGAGCAGAATTCACATTCTTTTCAAATTCACATGGAAGCTTCACCAAGACAGAACACATTCTAGGACATAAAACACCACTTAACAAATCTGAAAAAAACAGAAATCATACAAAACACACCCTCACGTCACACAAGCATTACTCTAGAAATCAATAACAGGACGGTGGTTGAAAACCCCAAATATGTGAACATTCAACAACACACTTCTAAATAACTCAAAGAAGAACACTCAAGAGAAATAAAGTTATTTTGAACTACATGAAATAAAAATACAACTTATCAAAGGCTGTGGGATGCAGCAAAGGGAAATTTATGCCACTGAACAAATACACTAGAAAAAACAAAGACCTATAATCATTAATGTAAGCATCCAATTACAAAATAATAAAAAGAACTAATTAAACCCAAAGTAAGCAGAATTAAAGAAATAATAATATAAATTAGAAAAGAAATCAAGATGCTTGTGCAAAATCAATGAAGAAAATTAAAACAATAAAAGTGGGTTCTTTTTAAAAGTTAATAAAATTGATAAACATCTAATCAAAATAACTAAGAAAAGACCAAGACAGAAATTACAACATAAGGCCATCAAGGTTAAATGCAGGTGTGAGAGGCGGTCTCTGAGGCCTTATAGTGAAGGGGTCTCTGAGGACACTACCGGGTGTGCCTGTCGTATGGCAACTGAAACAGTCTAGAGCCTTCTGGGGTAGGGGTACCCATTCAAGATGGGGCAGTTTGCAAGTAACAGCATAAATACGTTCAAGTAAAATTTGTAAACAAGGAATATGTTGCCTCCTGAACACAAAGAAACTACACAATGTTGTCAGTGCTGAGAGGGGCCTTAGCTATTTCTCTATAGTGTCAGGAAGGTTGTGGCATTGTATTTATTACAATAATTTTTTTGTTTCAGGTGTCCAAAAATACATAGTGATTAGACATTTACCCCTCACAAAGTGATAACCCTAACAAGTCTATTACCCCCCTGACACCATACATAGCTATTATGCCATTGACTATACTCCCTATGCTGTACTTTGTATCCCGTGACTATATCGAGTTATGACAATTATTCATGAAATTGTTGCAATGATGTTGCTAACCTTTTTTGATATCAGAGGGATTATTCACTAAGAATTTGTACCAACTGGACAAACAGTTAACCAAGTTTACTATTTGGAAGTGCTGAAAAGGCTGAGTGAAAAAGTTAGACGAAAATGGTCTGAACTTTTTGCCAATAATTCATGGCTCTTGCATCACAACAATGCCCAGCTCATATGGCGCTGTCTCTGAGGGTTTTTTTTTTTTTTAAGATTTCATTGGGGAATTGGGGGAGGGGAACAGTGCTGGGGAATCGGGGGAAGGGGAACAGACAAGTTGCTGTCCTTTTGTTCTTCACTCTAGTAGTGGAGGACTTCGCTTCACTGGCCCATGTTGATATTATCATTGCGCTCTTCCTGGGTGAGGCAGATCGGTCGCCAAACTCTGGACGGCCACTCACGGCAGCTCTTGGCAGCTCACACTGGCTGCCAGACACACACGGTAGCTTATGGCAGCCCCACTGCAGCAGGGGCTGCAGCCTACGCCATCGTAGGCGACTCAACGGCAGCCCAGCTCCAGGTCGAGCTGTTGTTCACCATCTTAGCTGTAGAGGGCAGTGTCACTGGCCCTCATGTGGGATCCGAACCAGGGGTCCTGCTGCTCAGAGCTGGCGTCCCAAGCCAGCTCTTAACCAACGCGCCACACGGCCGGCCCTCTGAGGGGGTTTTTAGCCAGTAAACAAATAACTGTATTGGAACGCCTTCCCTACTCACCTAATCTTGCCCCCAGTGACTTTTTTGCTTACCCGAAGATAAAGAAAATATTTAAAGGAAGACATTTGGATGACATTCAGGACATCAAGGGTAATATGATGACAGCTCTGATGGCCATTCCAGAAAAAGAGTTCCAAAATTGCTTTGAAGGGTGCACTGGGCACTGGTGTTGGTGCATAGCTCCCCAAGGGGAGTACTTCAAAGGTGATCACAGTGACATTCAGCAATGAGGTGTGTAGCACTTTTTCTAGGATGAGTTTACGAACTTAATTGTCCAACCTCGTATTTTTTAATTATAGTTGACATTCAGTATTATTATATTAATTTCAGGTGCATGGCATAGTGATTAGGCACTTATATAATTTATGAAGTGATCCTCCAAGAAGTCTAAGACCCATCTGACACTATACAGTTTTTACAATATTATTGGCTATATTTCCGATACAGTATTTCATATCCCCATGACTATTTTGTAACTACCACATTGTATTTCCTAATCGCCTCACCTTTCTCACCCATTCCCCAACACTCCTCCCTTCCAGCAACCATCAGTTTGTTCTCTGTTTCCATGAGTCTATTTATTTTGTTTGTTCATTTATTCTGTTCTTTAGATTCCACATATGAAATCATATGGTATTTGTCTGTCTCTGACTTATTTCACTTGGCATAATACCCTCTGGGTCCATCCATATTGTTTCAAATGGTAAAATTTCATTCTTTTTTATGGCAGAGTAATAATATTCCATTGTACCACAATTTCTTTATCCAGTCATCTATTGATGCACATTTTGGTTGTTTCCATATCTTGCCTATTGTGAATAGTGCTGCAGTAAACATAGGGGTGCATATATCTTTTCAAATTAGTATTTTGGGTAAATACCCAGGAGTGGAATTGCTGGGTCATAAGGTAGTTCTATTTCTAATTTTTGAGGGGCCTCCATACTGTTTTCCATAGTGGCTGCACCAATTTGCAATCCTACCAACAGTGCACCAGGGTTCCCTTTTCTCCACATCCTCGCCAACACTTGTTGTTTGTTGATTTATTGATAAAGGCCATTCTGACAGGTGTGAGTTGATACCATGTTGTAGTTTTAATTTGCATTTCTCTGATGATTAGTGATGTTGAGTATCTTTTCATATGTTTATTGGCCATCGGTATGTCCTCTTTGAAGAAATGTCTATTCAGGTCCTCTGTCCATTTTTTAATTGAATTGTTTGTGGTTTTTTGGAGTTGAGTTATATGAGTTTTTAATAAATTTTGGATAGTAACCCCTTATCAGATATATCACTACCAAATATTCAGTAGGATGTCTTTTGATTTTGTAGATGGTTTTCTTTCCTGGGCAAAAACTTTTTAGTTTGATGTAGACCCATTTGTTTATGTTTCCTTTTGTTTCCCTTGCCCGAGGAGACATATCAGTAGAAATATTACTAAGGGCAATATCTACGAGTTTACGTCCTATATTTTCTTCCTATATTTACTTCCTATATTTTTATAGTTTTAAGTCTTAGTCCATTTTGAGGTTATTCGTGCATGGCCTAAGAAGGTGGCCCATTTTCATAAAACAATTTTTAAAAAGGTAACCAAAACATCAGGGCCTCAAATGTTTCAGGCAATGGCCCATCAACTTTTGGTGAACCCCTTTTTTCAGATATGTCAAATGACTATCCAGCAAGGAGAACATCATGAATGTCAGGTCATACCTGTTCTCCTGGAGCAAGGTAAACACAGCTCAGATCCTGCCTGCAGAGACTGTGAGGTGGTAATGGTGCTGAGGTTCCCTGAGGGAAGCAGGTAAAGGTGTGTCATGTCCCTTCAGAGGTGAAGGCCAACTGTAGTTGAGAGGCTGCTGACATAGGCACTGAACAGACCAGACTTACCTAAATCTATGAGAGCAGACTGTGTACCTGTTGCTCAGTGGATGGAATCAGTAATTTCCATAATTTGGGGGCCTGGGAATAGGGTTTTCTTTGCTGTGATCACAAACTCAAGGTTGTAGTAATCCAATGTGAGGTGTCATTCATTCTTTCCAGGTTTAAGAAGAGGTCACATTCAGATGTTCAAAGGAGAAGCACTGGGGAGAAGCACTTCTTCCTAATAGGTTTCATATACCATTTTTCAATCCTTGAAGGTCCTGTTAAATTGATACAAGGTTATATAAACTAATTTTACTAAGGGGTAAAAACAATGGAGTCCAGTTCTCTGCAAACAATTTGGAAGTGGCACAGATTTTTAATTTAATTTTAATTTATGAATTATTGTTTAGGAGACTTCCTGCTCAGCAAGAGATATTTTAGGAGAATGGGTGTTATGGCCATAAGGCAATGATGGACCTAGAAAGTGTTTTGCTAAGTGAAATAAGGCAGACAAAGACAAATACTGTATAATTTCACTTATATGTGGAATCTAAAAATGTAAAACCAATGAACAAACAAAACAGAACAGAAACTGACTCATAGATACAGAGAACAAACTGATGGTTCCAAGAGAAAACATGGGAGAGGTGGGATGGGTAAAAACTGTGAACAGGAATAAGAGGTACAGGCTCCCAGTTATGTAATAAATAAGTCACAGAGCTGTAATGTATAGCACAGGAAAAGGATACAACCAGAAGTCAGCCACCCGGAAGAAGTACCCTCACCCAACCTTTGCTGGCACCCGGATCTGTCTTCCAGCCTCCAGAACTGTGAGGAATAAATTTTTGTTGTTTATAAGCCAAAAAAAAAAAAGTAATATCGTAATAACTTTGAAAGGTGACAGATGGTTACTGACTTATTTGCAGATCACATTATAAAGTATAGAAGTGTTATTAAGTAACTGTGTTGTAAATCTAAAACTAATATAATATTGTATGTCAACTATACTTTAACAAAACATGAATTTAAAAATTACCCAAAAACTGAGGGGGAAAAAAAAGCCTGCTCTTTAGGGAATAGCCATCTGATGGTGTCACCTAATTCACAGGGTATAATCCTAGTAACAACCTATTACCCACACAAATTTCAAGGAGAACTCAGCTTTAGTCACACCTTCACTCTAAATGCACAGATAGGTTCCACCCAGGACACTGAACCAAAAGCATGTTGGAGGGCCCCACCACATACGCCTGCTCCCGAATGCCTAGAAGTTCTCAAAACTGTCCAGTCTGGTCGATTGCACATAGAACTGGGGCTTGGTAGGGTCAACACTGCCACACGGGGCAGCACAGCTCACAGCACCAGCTCCCCAATACCCAGTAGCTCACAGTGCGGGCCACCATCAGGCAGCAGAGCAGGTGAGCAAGTCAGAGCAAGAGAAGACAGACCCACAGGGTGGTCACATGGGATGTGCTGCTCACTGAGCCAACTGTTATGGTCACCTGCAAGGTGGCCCTCACACCCAGAGGTTAGGAAAAGGCTTATGACTCACATAATTGAAATATAGCCAGGTGGGGGGAGGCCTCTCAAGCAGCTCTGAAATGGCTTAAAAGAGTAAAAAAATAATAACAATTAAAAAAAGTGTGGACGGAAAAGGGGCCATAGGTTAAACCTGACAAGTTTAGGAGACTAAAACTAAGATGGCGTGAACACACACACATAAAAATTTTTAACTAAGTGGGCCATGGTGGGAAGTCACATCTTCAGCTTCCTCATTAAATTAATCTGTGACTTTTCAGTGGGACTGTTGCCTTTCTGTACCTAAGATGACATCTTTAATCCTTTTTCTGACCAGAGCTGCAACTGCAAAATTCCTCATTATTATGCTTGTCTCCTGATTACCATCTCTATGTGCTGTAAAAAGCTAAATGTTAGCAATCCTGCACCCACCTGTGTGGGAGGAGTACCTGTCTCTCCAATTTACTTTTATCCAATCCCAGAGATTTCCTCGCTTTGCTTTCTCCCACCCCCTTAATCTACCACCAGTGGATTTCATGTAACCTTCTCCCTTTGATTTTATGTATAACTGTAAAACTGCTATTCTTCAGAGCATTTTCTCAATCCGTCAAGATTTTGCTTCCCAGCAATTGTCGACAGTTTGGCTCAAATAAACTCATAAGTTTTCTCTTAGGCTGGATATTTTTCATCAACAAAAAAATGGCTTGGGATTTTATTGTGACGGGATGTTACAGAAAAACTATTCAGTGCCACTTGTCAAAGATGGTAAGGCGGATTTTATCAGAACCACTGCAATGGGTATATACAGACCATCATGGTGGGATTTCACAGTAGGGAGAAATGAGATTGGGCTCCACTCTGAGTACAGCAAGGGCAAGTGGGAATTCACGGCCAGAGAGCAGGTGGGGGTCAGTGCATGGCAAATTAGGAAGAGAAAAATCAGGGGGGTTAGGGGTCCCTGCTAAAACGACCTAACAGGCTTCTTTCTGCAGACAGGCCTGGGTGATCAGACATTGTTTGACGGTGCAGGAGGGGGAACCTGATCAGATATGGAAGAGGATGAGACAGGAGGGTGGGGATTCTGGTTCACCTGGCTTCAGGGTTCCTGCTAAAACTGGATTTTACAAGCACGTGCACAGGTAGGCCTGGGAGGAGGCTCAGGAGTCTGACTAAAGCTGTTCCAGCAAAGCATCCTTGTCAGGGCGGGGCCAGGGCAGGAGTCCTGCTCACAGGCAGGGGCTTATGGGGTGGAATGTGATGGTGACAGAGGAGGGAGCCCAGGACTTTGTCCTCAGCCTGTCCAGGTGGGGACACAAGGAATTTTCAAATCCCTTGCTAACTCAAAGGACAAGTTGCATCTCACTTTGTCTTTACCCTATATCTCCCATGGGGGTAGTTTCAGGAATAAGCAGCATATTATATGTACTTTGGGTTTGGGTTTAGCTACTTAAACTTAGTAAAATTTTCACAGATTTTCAAAAACTTTGATTAGTTTTCCTCACATCAAATTAAAATAGAAATTCAATTACTTTAGCCTTTTAAATTTCAATTTGGTGTAATAACACTCACCTACAAACACTGATGTAAAAATGAAAAATGGACCTGAGAGCTTAAACACATTCATCTCACATCTTGAGATTCTCTAGCCTGAAAGGAACAAAAAGTCTATTTAGTTCCACTATTTACTTGCCTCACGACATCATCTCTCTCAATCAACTTACATTTTTAAGTCCAAGAAACTAAAAATGTTATTTCTCGCACAGGGAATAAAATTACACAGCGCTCAGGGAAACCAGAGCCAAAGGGCTGCACTATTCAGTCGATAAAGGATCCAAAGGCAAGAAACACAAGTGTTGGAATCAGCTCAGATGGGCAGCCTGCTTCCCACAGGACAGAAGGAAAGCCGCTTTCAGAAGGTTCCACATTCCAGGCTCTCCAGGTTGAGACAGAACCCCTGGAGTGAGTCAGTCCCTGGGAAAGGAGGGAGGGACCCCTGAGCAGCCCTAGGAATAAACTCTGGAAGCTCCCATACCCTCCTCTCCCGGGGGAATAATGGAAACACTCCCTCTCTCAGGCCTCATTTCAAAGTGAGGAAATGCTCAGCTGGATTTAGTACAAGGTTCTGACCCAAATGAACTCCCAATTCATGAGCTCTAGTCCGGACACAGAACTCCTTTCACGGACTTTCTCAATGTGCACAAATTACACTCTGAGCGCACATGCACTGTGGACCCAAAACTCCTACCTATGTGTAGAAACAGGCTCGAGGAACCGCAACTAAAACCTGAGAAAGGGCACCACTCCCCACCAAATGCTCCTGCACCCCCAGCTCTCCAGGGCCGCAGCTTCTCTCAGTGTAAAGGCCCCTCCATGGTGGGTGTGAGCAGGTAGGACACCTGCAGGGGAGGCTCCCCAGGAAGAACCACTGGGCCTTCAAGTATTTCCCTTTGCAGGTCAGAGGGCTTTAGCCTGGGTCACTGACCACAGGCGTTTGCTCCCAGTCACATTGCTTCGGACCACGTGGATGTTTTAAAGACACAGTATTCGAAGAATGTAGCAAAATCACACAAACCCAAAGTTTATGTGTGAAACAGGGAAGAAAACTGTAAGGCAACTTTCTAGTTAAAGAATAAAAGCCACAATATTTATTACTCTTAGAAAATAATTATATTATTATTTTCAGAGCAAGAAATTATTTTACAAACAATTCATCATACTAGAACACTTCTGGTGCTCAAGTCTAAGTCCTGAAATTCCATTTAAAAGCACCCTATCCCCACACAACGAAAGAACAGGACTCAGAATATTATTACACCAGCTCAGATCAGGGAAAAAACAAAAAACAATAATTTTTAACACATTCAATGTGACACTGGACTTTTTTCTGAAATTTACCTATTTCTTTATTTTTCAGAAACATTTTATACTCTTTCAAGCTCTTTTAAATACAAACATTTTAAATTAAAAAACCTGAGGATAAAATATATGAATAAATCTTTTCAAATTGACAAATGCAGGGAGGGACAGTGCTGACAGGACAGGTCACCCAGGAAATCCAGTATGAAGTGCATTCATTTTTTTCTAGGCTTAAGAACTGGCCAAATTCAGCTCTTCAAAGGAGAAGCATTGGGGAGAATAGAATCACTTCTTCCTATAAGGTATCTTATAACAGTCTTCAATCCTTGAAGGACCTGTGTACTAGATCATATTAACTGATTTTATTAAGGGGTACAAACCATAAAACCCCATTCTGTGAGGCCAATTGGGAAGTAAGAAAGACTTGATTTAATTTAAATTCATGAATTAATGGTTCAGAGTTGTCCTGCTCACTATTTAATATTTTAGGTCAATAGGTGCTATGACTATAAGAAAAAGCAGATTTCTGATGCTTCAGGCAAAGCACACCAATTTGACCTCTATGTTATAGTCACTAATTCCCCCAACGTCATGGGGGGCCTTTCTTAAATTTACTGAGATCCCAGGTATAACTGCTATTTAACCAAGCATTGAGTAATTACTTGAACGTTTGTGAATTACTCAGTTTCAGGAGGTGGCAACATTAATTCAAAACGTGTTTTACAATAACCTTTCATCTTTTTTGTTTTGAGATTCTTTTACTACATTTTGGATTTCCAACTGGGTCAAATTATGGACCTCTTTTCAAACCATTTTTCCTTTGCTTACTTTCCTTGTGTCCTTCCCTAATTTGTATTTTAGCTCACTGGATAAACTTTAGGGGAAGTAGGTGTCCTCTCTACCCTGGTATTTATAATTTTCATCCTCGACAGAGCCCCAAATCAGTGCCATCAGGGTGAAAGGCCTCCCCCATGGAAATGGCTGCTGTGTAGGATTTAAGGACCCTGGGCTTAAGTTCGGTTAGAATTAATCCTTTGCTGTGCCACAATGAGGCCATGGGTATTGTCCCCAGTAGCCCAGAGGGTCAGATGGCAGCAGAGGCACTGAAGGAACCTGGGAGCCCTCTGGTGTCAGGAGAGGACTCAGCCCAGCAGTCTCTCCTTTTTCTCTCTGAAATGCCTGCTCTTTAAGGAGTGACCATTTGACGAGCTCACCTCATTCACAGGGTACAATCATCCTCTTTCTCCCTTAGACCTCCTACTATTGGGGTGACCCCAGACTCAGCCAAACCTTCACTCTAAACACACAGTACGGTTCCAGCCAAGACACTGACCTAGGAGCCTGTAAAGAGGACCCTATTCCTATACTCCTATTCCCTAAGGGCAAGGAATGACTAAAACTGTCAATTCAGAGTCCTCTGTATATAGACCCCAGGCTCGGTGGGTCCCCAGTGCAGCACAGGGCAGCACAGCTCACAGGAGGGCTCCCCAGCAAGCAGCAGCTCACAGTGCAGAGCCTCCAGGCTTTCTCATCAGCCTGACAGGTAAGAAGCAGGAGGGGGAGACGGAGGGGTGGGGCTTAAGATTTCAGTAAACAATATCAAAAGTGTGGACCCCTGGCTATTCATTACAAGAACACACATGGGTAAGAAAACTATGTATTTATACTGGCTTGTTTTTATATAAAGAAACACTAGAAAAATGATCAAGAGGTGATCACACCTGGTTATTTCAGTGTGGCTAAAACAAGAGTACAGGAGTGGAGCAAACTATTTGGGCAGCGGCTCTCCTGAAGTTAGTTGCCTATCTTAGAATTTAAAAAATCTCCCTCACATTATTTATTTAAATTAAGGAGAGAAATTGATACATACCATATTTTCCTAAGCTTTATTGTTATTTTTAATTAACTTTTGCTTCTAAAAATTAACTTTAGCTTTTCTACATAGGAACCCACTCCAAGAGTTAATCTTTTAAACATAAACAATATGAAACACTAGACTATAAAAGTTTACAAATCCCTTTCTAACTAAAAAAGGACAAGGGACATAATAGTTTGTCCCTCTACTATGTATCACACTGGGGATATTTTCAAAAATCAGTAGCATATTATAATATATTAAGGGTTTGCAATATAATGCTGAAATGGTCTTGAAACTTGAAAGATTTACATCAGCTTTGAGCCGTTTTCCTCATACCAA